TCACAAGTGTTTCCTGCACTCTAAGTGAAACAAGGAGAGAGTCATCCACTTTTGTTTCCCTCAGAGTATAGACTGTAACTGACAGACTGATTAGAATAATGAAAATGTTGAACTGCAACGATCTGTCAAAATTCTTTGTGCCCCAAAGCATTCTAGGATTGATTTAATGAAATTCCAGTTACACTGAGATTGCAATGCTAGATGTGACATCATCTATGCTTTATAAAGTGGATATGACAAAGCCGCACGATGTTTGATTTACTGCACTGCTATCTACTATCCGAGCACATCTTTCAACATTACTTCATTTTCCATATTCTAGGATGTTCTCCCACCCTTGAATAACAATGCTCCATTAAAATAGTCACTCTTTTTTTTTAAAGATTTATTTATTTTTATTACAAAGTCAGATATACAGAGAGAAGGAGAGACAGAGAAAAAGATCTTCCGTCCGATGATTCAATCCCCAAGTAACCGCAATGGCCGGTGCTGCGTTGATCCGAAGCCAGGAACCAGGAATTTCTTCCAGGTCTCCCACATGGGTTCAGGGTCCCAAGGCTTTGGGCCGTCCTCAACTGCTTTCCCAGGCCACAAGCAGGGAGCTGGATGGGAAGTAGAGCTGCTGGGATTAGAACCAGCGCCCATATGGGATGCTGGTGCATTCAAGGCAAGGAGTTTAACTGCTAGGCCACGGTGCTTGGCCCAGATAGCTGGGTATTTAACCAGAGGAAGGAACAGTGCCCTGAGATCCAGCAGAGCTGAGATTCATGCTCATAGCTGCCCTCTACCAGTGGAGTGACCTTGTTTATACCTGTGAACCTCTTCAGTTTCATGGTGCCCGTTTGTGATGACCGAACAGTGCTTCTCAGAATAGGGGGGACCACAGAAACACTCAGTGATCTTTTTTTGAGAATATAGTGACTTATACTATGGCCTTACTCCCACTTAATAGAAATCTTTGGAGAAAACTGCAGACCTGTTGTGTTTAACAACTGCTTGGGTAATTGTAATGCACAAATGAATTGAGAACCTTCAGGGGGCTTCTTTCTTTGAAACAGTCTGAGCCCTTCCCATGCTTGCAAAATGCATTCCTAATGGACATTTAATCCTTCAGATACAGGCAGGTGCAACAGAGTTTTACTTGAAAGCAACACTTGGTGTCTGACGTGCCTTGGGTAGGGTCAGGGTGTCTGACGTGCCTCAGGTAGGGTCAAGGTACCTGAATTCAGCCTCTTGTTCAGCCATCTACTAATCTGTAAGCTTGTCCACGTTGGGCAGCTCCCTCATTCCTAAAATTGGGATAATGGAAATATCTACATCATAGCTTTCTGTTGACTTCTCAATGAGAACATATCATCAAACAGCTTTGTCTAGATCCTGACTGCCATCTAATGTGATTTAAATAACCTGTAGCTATCAACGTCATCATCACTTCATGAAAATCGGCCTACTGCAGTTTTCCTACTCTGGCTGTGGCAGTTGTGTGAGATGAGTAGCTCTGTCCATGATCTTCTTCTAGTACATAACCTGGGGGCATCCAGGAGTCACTGAACCCTCAAGGAGGACCCCAGGCTATAATCTGAGAGGCATCTGAGCACAGCAAGGGCCAGGCAGAGACATGGGACTCAGCTTTATTCTTTATCCGGCTGTTGGACAGCTCCAGCATAGCCCTGCTTCTGTCTTTGCAGAGGTGAGGCCAGGCCTGCTACAGAGAAGCTCCTTCCACGGGGTCCAGGTGGCTGGTGAAGCAGCTGTCATAAAAAATAGTCACTCTTTAAATCAGGATCATTGCATAAATTGTCCTGATGGTGATGTGTCTCAACTTAGTCACAAGCTACAGGAAGTGTAGATCCAATCATTTGATCCAATCATTAATTAGATAAATGCAAATTGCAACCATGTTCCAGAGAAAAACAATGAAGGAGAGATCTTTTAGCTAAAATCTCAAATAAGAGGAAAAGTTCAGCTATGTTAATGAAAATAGGAAAACAAGGCATTCCAGAAAAGAACAGTCAATATTGACATCTTTTAGGCGCGTAGTGAGGAAGTTACACAGGGGAGCAAGCCCACGGAACACAAGCTGCTACGGATTTCTGTATTGATCGTAAATGCCATGGAAAGCTTATCACCTCTTTTAAACAGAGGAAAGCACATCATTTGATTCTTGCCTTGAAGACTTTAGATTTTTCCCATTTAAGTCCTGAATTAAATCTAATTAACTTTAACAGAGCTGGAATGCTCTGACATTTCAAAGCAGTATAATTTTAAATTCCCATTTTTATCATGCGATTTTTGTCTCAAATTTTTCTTTCTAATGAAAGAAATTATTTCTGAAACTAGTTTAAATATTCAAAGCTCAAAATGTCTAAAAAAGCATATTTGGATTAAAATCATGCAAATTTTAAAGAAACATTGCTAATAAAAATTTTCTAAAATAAGGATTGCTTATATCCTCTTTTTTTAAGGATAGGTACATGTTTAAGGCAATGAAAATAGAGTGAGATTGTTGAGTTGATGCCATTCAATTACTGTTTCAACAGCATTTTATCTAGAAGGACCCAAATTCTTTATAGAAACTTGATTTCTCTATAGAAACTTGATTTCTCTATAGAAACTTGATTTAAAAATTTAAGCATTAAGATCCCTGCATTCAGTCATAGAACAAAAGAAAACTGTAAAATGCAGAAGAGCGGAAGAGAGATACTTTGATGATAGGCACATTGATTAGACTGGTGAAAAATTACCACTCCCTGCCTTAAAATATCAAAATACTATATCACACTTGATTTATTTCCTTCTTCCATTCTACTTAAAACTTCACTTGACGGTTCTTTGGCGTTAGCTGCCTATTTCTTAAACAAACAAAATCTAGATGTGTTCCTGATATTTTTAATTGCATACTATCTGAAGACATGATTAGCAACCACAGTGCAGGTTTGGAACAGATTTAAACTTTATTCATTCATTTAACAAACATTTCAGTGATAAAAAATGCTTCATTCTGTGCACTGGATTTTTATCAGTGTATGAAAAAAAAAGAAAATTTAGAAACCTAAATATCAATGCTGTCATGAAACTGATTTAGTTGGGGATGTCAAAAGGAGAAATAAAATAAGTAAAATGTATAGCAAATTAGTAGCTGACAAATACAATGAGACTAAACAGAATTTGTAGACAGATTGCTTTCATAACTAATGAATGTTTAGAGTCTTAGAATGGGTTAATGCCATGATTATTTACCATTTTAATGCCCATCATATATATATATATGTAGATACACTGTAGTAGAATGACAGCTCCCCTTTACTTAATGTTTACTGGACGCTGAATAATCACCTGGTTTCCAACACAATCCTAGTTGTAATTCGGTTTCCCTGTCATCAGATGAGACGCATGTTTGTCGTAGCTTGGATCATAGCTGGCTGGGACCACTTGAACTAAAATGCAGAGCAAGATTAGGGACCATTGTAGCCTGTGTCAGGGATTCATTCACAGAGTTAGTGAGATGTGGGAGAATCAGACGGATGACTAGTGGATTCTGGGTCAACTATAAGAAAGAGTCTGGCAGTGGGACTGGATTTCAACTGGAAGAGGAGAATTTTCACTATCTTAATTATCATTGCGGGGGGGGGCAGATTCTAAAAACGGAAAGGATTTTGCTTGCCAAGATGATATTAGATACCATTGTTTTGCTTAAAAACAATGGGCAAATATTCAAACACATTGGGACTCAGTGATTAAGAGTGACACCCATGAGGAAAAATGTTCTAAATTTGCTGGTTTAGAACAAAGAGTTTAAGAGATTTAAAGACCTTAATCATAGGGCAAGATCCCTGGAATTCAGACTGCTTTTCCAATGATCCTCTTATTCAAAGAGCCATGCATCTTTCACGTACAACCTTTTATTCTTTAATGTACTCATTTGGATTTTTACCCACTGTTTTCTGCTTTCTGCATTCTGTAATAGAGCAACAGGGACATTATACAGCTATTCTAAGGATTGATTATGTTTCACTTTATAAACCTTTAGATTGTTTATTTCCCGTTCATGTGTTTTTTTTTTTTTTCGTATTACTTTTGTTCCAATAACAAAGCACTACTGCAAAACCCCTGGCAGTGTGTTCCCTTCTGTAAACTGTTGAGCATCAGCTTTCACACGGAGGAATCTAGCACTAATGAAGGAAATGCAGATGAGTCTCTTCATTCTCATGCATATGCAGATTCTGATTTTGTTTATGCAAAGTGCGGGTGTTGGATCCCTGGTCACTTAGCAGCCAGTTCCCTATACTGCTAAGTGCTTGGCAATAACAGTCAGCTAATTAAACTAGTTAATTATTAAGTGTGTTGAATCTTAGGAAGGAATCCCTAAAATGGTTTGCCTTGCTTCACTCTGAAGACAATACCTGTTAAAAGACATCACGATATCTTCTGAGAAATGAAACTTTCAGATAAAGTTGCCACTTTAAAAAAAAAGATTTATTTATCTTCATTGTAAAGTCAGATATACAGAGAGCAGGAGAGACAGGAAGATCTCTTATCTGATTATTCACTCCCCAAGTGACTGCAACTGCGGGTGCTGCGCCGATCTGAAGCCAGGAGCCTCCTCCATGTCTCCCACACAGGTGCAGGGTCCCAAGGTTTGGGCCACCCTTGACTCCTTTGTTAGGCAACAAGCAGGGAGTTGGAAGGGAATCACAGCTGCCGGGATTAGAACTGGCGCCCTTATGGGATCCCAGCACGTTCAAGGTGAGGACTTTAGCCACTAGGCCGCCGTGCCGGCCCCCTAAAGTTGTGACTATTTAGTGAGTGCCTCACCAAAATTCTAAACAGGTAATAGGTTAGCTTCATGGGAACAATATCAACTTTAAATTACACACATTTTATTTAAAGTTTGCCTAGTGCCCACTTCACATGCTATTCATAAACTCTATGGTTTCTAAGTTAAAAAGCTGCATGTTTTTAAAACTAAAAATTTACAATACATGATTTTTCTGTTCCAGGGAGGAGCAGAACATAATATTCCAGTTGTCATTTCAAAAATTTCCAAGGAGCAAAGAGGTAAGATGTTCACAGAATTATAACACAGTCATTGCTTTGTAAATTCTTGTTATTGAAGAATGAATCATCAGCTGTTGTTGTGTCATGTGATGCCTGGCTTCATGTTCCCCATGGTGAGGAGTTAATTCCTGGGCTGTGCCCTTTATCACGCCACGGAAGGGCTCTCACAGAGGGGCAAAGCAGTGAAGTCCAGCAAGGTGACTGGGTGACTTGGAGATACTGCAGGCTTTCCTTGGTTTCATTAGGCACACACATATACAGAACCAGTCATAACACTGGATGTGTAGTAAAGACAAACCTACATTATTTTTTTCAGTTTCTGTATTCAGTTTTATTTAGCCTTCTGTAAAAGAAAAAAAAATATCATTTAGGAAAAATGACATATATGTAAAGCAATTGTCTTAGTATCTTAAACAATAGAACGATCCCAAGACTGATGGATTTAATGTGAGCATCTCAAACCTTTTCAGTGAGAACTCAGAAATATGTCAAAGAGAAAATTGTATCATTCACCAGAAGAATTAACCATTTTTAGTATGTTTAAGATCTGAAACAACAGAACTAAATAGAAATATACCTGCATGCATTTCAATAATCAAGGTGAATCGAACCTTATTCTTATATTGATATTCCCTCTTTGTACGACATTTGAGGTGCTAACCACAATAAGTAGATACATTTTTCGTTATGAATTTGATGATGCTTTAGTCAAGCCTTTTGTCTGAATGATGGCCCCTTTCTCATTACAGCGGAGCTTGCGGGACTACTTTTTATTGGAGATGCGATTCTGCAGGTACACATTTTACTCTCCTCCTCTTTGTGCAGCACAGAGAAATCTGCAACATACCATGAGAAACTATGTCTTTCTTTTTGTTGCAGATAAATGGGATTAATGTGAGAAAATGCAGACATGAAGAAGTGGTGAGTTTACTATTCCCCTAATGTTATAGTTTCCTCTATGTATAAGTAAGGATTTATTGCATTTCTAAAAGCTATGATTTATCCATTAGGGAAATACGACATTGATCTAGTATGTTATAAAATTTTCAATTATCTGTTAATTGATTCCTTTTCATTTCAGACACAGTTCAGTGTTACCCAGCATGAAACACATTTCAAACAAATACTTAAGCAGGGTTATTTTAGCTTCTGTCAATCTCAAAACCAGTTAAACATATCTCTTGATGAAATAATTTCTAGATATTTGCAAGTGTTTAAAAGCTTATCAGTAATAGCACAATATAAGTAAAATCTTATTTCATATTAGGATTCAATGGAAGAGCAAATAAAGGCTATATATGTGTGTGTGAATGTGTCTGAGGGACATAGGAATTCAAGGCAGAATTTTAATGTGTTATGAGTTGGCTGTTTATAAATGCACAAAATCAGAGGTTTTCAAAATTAGCTTTTTCTAACCTAGCAAATTTTGGTTTGGCAAATTTTGGTTTCTGGCCCTAAAGATTGAGTTTTAATAGTTCACTGAAGGGACTCCATTGTAGGCAACCTATAAACTATACTGTGAAAGATCTGTTGTCGAATGAATAAACAATAGTAAAGAGAACAGGACAGTAGTGGAGCTTTTGGAAATTTTTCTTCATGACTGATTAAATATTATTCATAAAGCCTTCCTTAGTAGCGCCTATAGGAAGCGCTGAAAACAAAATCATGTCTAAAATTTTATTGAGAAACAAACAAATGAAAATCATTGCAAACCTTTTTACCTTCCATACCTCTGATGCATTTTGGTTTGTGCAAGCATCGTTCTTCTGTTCATTTCTGTTTGGAGACTGCCATTCTGATGTATTCACACATTTCAACCCCATGAAAGGGAGACACGTGTCTGTGAGAAGTCAGAGTCTGGAGAATAAAAGAGAATGCCCTGGGCATAACAACTCAGCATTTGTGGGTGTCCCTTTATTTTGTCTCCTCAAACTCCTACTTAGGTCATCTTTTGCAACTCTGTGCAAACATCATGAAAAATATACACACATCCAGCCTAACATTTTCTACAAATACGCACGGATGACAGTATTTCCAAATGATTTTTTAAAACAAGTTAGAAAACATCACATCACAGAGACCTCTGTTCTGAAGACCCCTATGCATGCTTTACGTACACCTAAGTAAGTAAACATATTTTTATCTTTCATATTGTTTCAAAACATAAACTGATTTTAAATTCACTATTCATGGAATGAAAACAAACGCTTTCGCTTTAAAAACTGCAAGCTGTTTATTGGAAGGTGTTTGTGATTTGCCCTTCAGAGGCAAGCAGCGAGCTTGGACAAATTGCTATGGAGCGCTGATTAAACAGCTCAGTGTGGCATGAAAGATTAGAACATGCTAATCACACCACTGCTGATGGTGCACATTCTCTTTCAATGGAAAGACTTTGGGGATTGTTCTGGAAATTCCATGTGGTCCTTCACAAAATACTTTTTGTTTACTGACACCCTTAACACTGTGGTCATTGAAATATAGGTACCATTACTTCTATTTGATTCCAATCCTTGTTTTCCCCCAGCAACTAGATGTCTTTTTTCTTGCTACTTATTACCTGAGTGAATAGACTTACACCTCAGTGGGACAGAGATACTAATTAAGTGTTTTAAAATGAACTCACCTGGGCAGAAAAAAGCCACAATTAGCTCAGAGGGTGTCCGTGGTTTTGAACTAGCCTGCTGATATGCCACATTTGGTATAGAGTTCCAAAATCAGAAACCCATTGTGCAGGAACAATAGCCCGTCATTTCTATGTGACTGTTCTATTCTTCACCTCCTCTCTCCATTCTCATTGTTAGAGATTCTACATTCATCCACAAACCATTGGGAAGGTTTCACTTGTTATTTTGTGTTGGAGTTGGAGAGTTTGACACTACCGGGTGATTCCACATGGCCCATACTCTCTGATCAGTAGATTTTATTTCATTGCTGCAGCACTTCCTGTTTTTCATGGCACCATTCTGGGGGTGGGGCAATAATCAATTCTGGTTTTCCCTGACACCCTTTGTACCCCATGGCATTTGTCCTGCTGAAAGATTACTGAAGAAGAGAAGCACACAAAGTTTCCTCATGAATTAAACATGAGAACCATTGTGCCAACAGTGTTACGAGTGCATCATGATGTACACATTGGACTTCCCCTCGCATACCCTACACTATCCCAATCCCAGGTCAACCTACTGACCTAATCCAAAGCAACTGGGCTTATACTTCAGCCTCTTTCTTCCTTCTCAGAAAACTTGAACTAACAATTTTTTGGAATGGTATGCTGATTTTTGGAATGAAGTTAAATATGTGAGGCTTCTAGCATACGTCTAGCTATTGAGAAGACTTCTATCTCACTTTATACCACTCATCATTGCAATTTGGCATGCTGCCATCATTTTTTTTCCTTAGTCCTATGGGAGATGCTGTGCCTGTGTCCACTGGTGTCCCGTATGATCTTTGCTGGAAGTCAGGTGTCATCCCCTGGACACAGAGCTAACAGTGCTCTGTGTCTCAAATTGGCTCCACATATTCCAACGTGGAATCAAGGTGGGCATCTGTGGTACAGAATGAATTGTATTGTCTGTATCTATACGTTCATGTTTTTTTTTGTTATTGTTAACTAGCAAAACTGATCACCTATAAAAAGTCTGAGTGCTGTCTATGTTAAACACATTTAAATTAATTGCTCAATAAAAAAGAGAGAGAGAGAGAAAGAGAGAGACAGTATTGGGCTGGTGTGATGGTATAGCAGGGAAATTGTCTACCTTTGCCACCAGCATTCCAAATGGACTCTGTGATCCATGCCCTGGAAGCTCTGCTTCCTATCCAGCTCCCTGCTAATGCCCTAGGAAAGCAACAGATGGTGGTTCAAGTCCCTGGGACTGTGCATTTGTGTGGGAGACCCAGAAGAAGCTCCTGGTTCCTGGATTTGGACTAACTCTACTCCATTACACTTCAGGGTATGAATCAGCAGATGACAGATATTTCTATTTCTCTTTCTTTCTGTGAATCTGCCTTTCAAATATAAAATAACTATATACTTAAAAAGAGAAAAGAAAAATGGCATCAATCACTTGATATGACTACACTTACTGGCATATGGGCATTATTTTAAAATTAAAACAGTATAGAAAAAGTTGGAGATAGAAATTGAAAATAAGAAAGAAATAGAGTCAGTATTGTGGTGTTAAAGGTTAATTCATCCCCTGCAAAATGTGTATCAAATGAATGCCAGTTACAGACCTGTTGTTACACTTCTAATCCAACTCCCTGCTAATGTGATGTGAAAGCAGTTGAAGATATACCTAGAAACCAGGCCCTTGCCGTTGCTGCTGGGAAACTGGATAGGGCTCCAGGCTCCTTGATTTTATTTGGCCTTGGACAAGCTATTGTAGTCATTGGTGGAGTGCACAACAGATAATCTCTTTCTCTTGCAACATTCTTGAAAATTTATCAATTATGTATCTACAATAAACAGATACAATATTAAATAATATTTAACTCTACAAAAACTAGAAGTGCTTCTTGAATTAAAAGATATCTCTGTTCTTACAAAATAGTATGTCAGGATAACTAGGGAATGTCCACACAGTAAAAATCTAAATATAGAATAGATGATTGTGATGTGGAGTAGAAGGAATAGGCAGGTATTTCTAGAGGTGGGCTTATAAAGGCACATTGATAGGCTTGGGATTTAGGAATTCCCCAAGAAGGGGTTCATCTTTATACATGTATAATTTTCATGAAGAAAAAATATTAGATTATATGAACTATACTTAATCAGTGCTTCATTCTGAATTTGATTTCATTCTGAAATAATAATTATTTTTATAAGAGAAACATAAAAGCTCAACTATATAAAAATTTGCACTCATACAATGGAAATACTGTTGCAGAAATGAATACTGGTTGATATCATTTTGGTTGTTTTTATATAGTAAACTTTAACTTTCCATTTCCACAAGAACATGTTCTTTTTCCAATTTATATTAATCAGAAAAAAGACATTACAAAGGTTATAGCAAATCTCCTGAAGATCAAGCAGTAATTTATATATTGGAACAGTCTTAGAGGTTTTATGCATCACCAAGAAACATATTTGCAGTGTACACAAATCATTTTAGACTTTGGTGAAAAGATTAAAATGTCATTCAGTTATAAATCATGGTTTATCATACTGCTAGAAATTATATTGCTCACAACTTGGAAAAAACAAAGCTTTTGTGCTCTAAATGACCAATGCATTTTATGCATCCAAGTGTTTTTCTTTGAACTATCCATACATGAAATCATTTAACTTAACATTTCTCAGTGATTTGGAAAAGTTAAGTGTAAAAATAAAAAGTCCAGAGATTCTTTTTACGCCACCTCTGATATTAGAAGTGAATAAAATATTCAAAGAGTCTCTTATTTGTGTGTTTAGATTTAATATGCTTAAGAGTCTATGAACCCTTATGTCAAAATTGTCAAAAATGCTAATAATAAAAAAAGAGTCTATGTATCCGTTCCTTAATTAAGAATACATGAAATGGCCAGCATGGTATGCTAGCGGCTAGAAACCTTGCCTTGCATACACCGGGATCCCATGTGGGAGCCAGTTCTAATCCCCTTGGCCTCCCTACCTATCCAGCTCTCTGCTTGTGGCCTGAGAATGCAGCATGGATGGGACAAAGTTTTGGAACCCTGCACTCTTATGGGAGCTTGGGAAGAAGTGTTGGGCTCCTGGCTTTGGATTGGCTTAGCTCATCTCCAGCAGCCTGGGGAGTGAACCATGGACAGAAGATCTTGCTTTCTGTCTCTCCTCCTCTCTGTATATATATAGGCCTTTCCAATAAAAATAAATAAATGTTTAAAAAAATAATAATACATGAAGACAACACACGTAGCCTTTTACTGACATGCATTCTGTCTCCTTATGATGGCTATTAATG